ACCCTGCAGATCAGATATGGCTTGAGTCCCCGATTGTGACCCCATGTCAGCCAGTAAGATGATTTGAAACCTTGGCACCATGTAGAAATATAATGGACTGCTTTTATTCAAAATAGCAAGTTGTCTATTATGTACAAGAACTGAACTTCGAATTTCAGAGAGGGAATATGTAAGATGTGTAAGGGAGTGCTCTGCCTGCCTGCCTGCCTTTGCTTTTACAAAGACTTGATCGACTCATGGGACCTGTGAGATGCTAGGAACATGATGAGTCAAACATACTCACCCAGGCCCTGACCTCATGAGCTCCCAAATAAAGATACTTCACTGTCATATGCTAAGCACTGCTTGAGAAGCCTATGGGGCTGCAGAGAGAGAAGGAAGCCAGGAAAGGATGCCTCTAGCAGTCCTTGGAGAGAGTTAGGAAATCAGCATAGTGCACAGCAGCCAGCACTTACCAATGAGCAGAACAGAGAATATTGAACATTGCGTGTGTGTGGTACACATATGCACACGGGCTGTGTCATGTGTGCAGTCAGGAGGAGATGCTCCTGATGTGCCCAAGGGCCTGTGCCTTCCCTGCTGCAGTGACAAACTTGAGGTACAAAGACTTTATGTGACCCACAGTCTAGGTTATAATCCAGGGGAAGTGACGTGGCATGGCAGGAGCCTGAGAGAACCATGGTGCTCAGCATGCTTTCTCCACTCTGCACAGTCCTGCCCAGGGAATGGTGCCACCAGTAGAAGGAAGGTCTTTGCTGTGGATATCGCTCTGTATGCTGTGAATGTGTTGCTCTGATTAGTTAATTAAGTGCTGATTGGCCAGTATCCAGGCAGGAAGTATAGGTGGGACAAAGAGAGAGGGGAATTCTGGGAACAGGAAGGCTGAGTCAGGAGTTGCCAGCCAGATACAGGAAGCAAGATGTGAAGGCAGAACTGGGAGAAGGTACCAAGCCACATGGCTAAACATAAATAAGAATTATGGGTTAATTTAATTTTAAGATCTAGCTAGCAAAAAGCCTGAGCCATTAGGCCAGTTTTAATTAATATAAGCGTCTGTGTGTTTATTTGGGTCTGAGCGGCTGCGGCCCAGGTGGGACTGGAGAAAACTCCAGCTACAGGTCTTATCTCAAAGTATTTAAGATAACCCCTCACAGACATACGCACAGGAACCTGATCTAGACAATTCCACACTGATACTCTCTTCCAAGGTGATTCTGAATTGTGTCAGGTTGATAATTGAAACTAACTGGCACTGCCTAAAAGCCAAACTCGAGAGCCCAGGTCGCCTGCTGATATCCTGGAATGCTGGAGGTTGTCAAACCTTTTTAATGAGTAGAAGGGTGGATTTAAACTATCACTAAAAGCCTAGCACAGGCTTGCCTGTCTGTGATGCTGACTACTTGGAAGGCTGAAACAGATTTGCTTGAGCCCAGGAGTTCAAAAGAAAAGTTAATTTTTAAAGTAACTGCAGGTGCCACAGTCCTCAGGTAAGAAAGGCATCTCTTAGGGCTGGTGAGATGGTTAAGAGTACTGGCTGCTCTTCCAGAGGACCTGGGTTCAATTCCCAGCATCCTCATAGTGGCTCACAACCATCTGTAACTATAGTTCCAGGGCCTCTATTGCCCTCTCTGGCCTCGTGTGCACCAGGCACACACATATAAAGTGCCAGCAGCACACTGTCCACACTGAAAAAGAAAAGAAGGGATCTCTGAAGCCCAATTCCAGCAGCAGGGCTGCCCAGGGAGGCTAGAGTTCTGGAGACAGGGAGGAGCCAAGGGAGTACAGAGAGGCCTGAAGGAAAAAAATCTACTCTGCACAGCCCATCACGTCCTTCAAAGTGTCCATAGAGAAACCAACTTCAGGTTGACCAGGAAACTCTTCCCCTGCTCACTAGCTTAGACAGTACCAGGAAGTGCTCTGTGGGCTGCTGGGGAAGAGAGGACAAGCTGGACCCTGCACACTGCAACAGTGACCTGCTGGGAAATATGCCCTCTGGTGCAACAGTGGTGTGTAGGTTATGGGGTAACCAGCCCTGTCAGATTAGGATATGAGGCCTGCTCATACTATAAACCAGATCAGAAGTCATGACTTGGGAAGACCATGGGCCCTGGGCAGCGGGCTGGGTGGCTGGGCTGGGGTGGGGGTATACAACAACCTACAGCTGTTGTTTTACTAAACGCTTTCAAACTGCATTCTAAATACCTATGTTTTTGCTCACATATGTGGAATGCTCTCATTTTGGTCAGAGAAGCTTCTTTAAGCAGTGGATAGTGGTAATGCAGAGACCCATAACTGGTCTGTGTGCAGGGTATGTGTAACTCCGAGTGCCAGCTGCGGTGGATCAGTTGTATCAGCCTCCGGCATCCAAGACTCATGCCACATCAGGCCCACAGGCCAGCAGCTCAGGCCCCAGGTTGCAGATGGGAAGCACTGTTAATGGCAAATTGGGATGTGGGGAGAAGGGCCCAGGGAGAAAGTGGACAGGAGTGCAGGTCATTCCTCATGTGAGGAGGTGAGTCAGGATAATGACTAGTTGACCAGAGAGGCTCTCCCTCAGTGGTTTTCTGAACACTCTACACTCAACCTGTCTTACAATATCAGGACCAAATACTCTTGGTTCTGTTTCTCTCCATTATAGACTCTTTTTTTTTTTTTTGGTTTTTCGAGACAGGGTTTCTCTGTGTAGCTTTGCACTTTTCCTGGATCTCGCTCTGTAGACCAGGCTGGTCTCGAACTCACAGAGATCTGCCTGCCTCTGCCTCCCAAGTGCTGGGATTAAAGGCGTGTGCCACCACCGCCCGGCTCCATTATAGACTCTTAAAGTCAGAAGGACAAGGGATTATCCAGCCCGACCACTTCATTTACAGCCGGAGATGGGGCCAGAGAGGGAAGGCTCCAGGGTTCAGAGCTGCGGCCAGAACTTTAACCCAGGTACCAGGGTCCTTTTGGTTGCCCTCCTCACCCACCGTCTTACCAGAAGGCTCTCCTACAATCTTAGTTCTTTTGCCCTTTTCTCTCTATGTAAAGAGTCTTTCCAGTCTGAAACATTCCCCTGCTCCAGTCACCCGTCACCCCCCACCCCCCGCCAAGTGCTGGCAGCAACTCTGTACAGTCAGGGTTGCTTCCTCAGTAGTCCTTCCTGCTCTGTGGGAGATGATGCTGGGGCGCTGCTACCATCCCCATACTTAGCCCAGATCCAGACACACAGCGAGTGGCAGGAAATACCTGACGTGCAAACCATTAGTATCTGCCCTCCAAGCGCCCCTAAAGTTTAAGTACACCACCAAGAACGGCTTCCTTTGGAACTTTCTGGCTGCTCGGTCATGACATATTTTTATGCTTCTGTGTCTTTACACATTCTCTCTGCCTAAAATGCCCCTCCCGGCTTTCCTGCTCAGTATATCATTATATACCCATTGTTTGTTTGTTTTAAACACATCTGACCAGGCTGGCCTCAAACTTGCTATGCATGAGGATCATCTTGCCCTCCTGGTTCTCCTGCCTCCACCTCACAGATGCTGGGATGACAGACATGTGCCACCATGCCTGGTTTATGTGTTCTGTGGCTTCCTATGTATGAGCCAAGCGCTCTGCCAGCTAAACTACACCCCAAGAACACCCATTCTCTAAGAGCCATTGCCTCTGTGAGCCCTTTCTCTGTAGCACATTTCCTTCTCCCTCGTCTCCCACTCATTCACAAATTCTGCCCATTATACTGCAGATGTGTGCTTCTGTGTCTGTCATGAACATTAGGCTGTGACTCTTCACTGGACCAGGATGCCACTCTGAGGAGACAGGACTGGAATACAATTCAAACCTTAAAAGCTTCAAATAAATCACTTGTTTCCTACCATAACTATAGAAAGATTTAATGAACACACCGTGCTCTGGAATGCTCCAGAATAGACTTCATATAGCCCTGCTTCTGCAAAATGCTCCCACTGCCCCACTTCCCAGCAAATTTCATAGTCAAACACATTTGAGACATGAAAGAAACATATTCTCTCCTGCCCCTTCCTCCCCTCTCCCCCAGGTAGAGGTTGATAGATCACATTCATTCCTTGATTTATCTCTTTGTCTCTGTCTGTCTCTGTGTCTCTGTGTGTCTCTATCTCTCTGTGTGTCTCTGTCTCTCTGTCTCTCTCTGTCTCTCTGTCTCTCTCTCTGTCTCTCTCTCTCTGTGTGTGTGTGTGTGTGTGTGTGTGTGTACAGATAGACAGGTCTCTGAAAAGGTCCATAGCTGTTGTTACCTTAGTTGGATTATGACTCCAAGAACACAGCTGTGACCCCATGCATTTATAGGAAACATCCATGCTTTTCTTTATACATTGTCTTCTGAGAGTCAAGTCACTGTGGAGTCTTATCAGCCTTGGGGTCACTCACTAAAATGAAGTTCTGGATCTGCCAGCTAGCCAAGGACCAGCCAGCCTTCCTGGACTACACAGAGTCACTCCTCTCTAGCCATACCTATGCTTTCCCTCTGACTGACAAACTTCCTCTCCATGTCCAAGGCCAATTCCTAGGTGCCAGTTGAGATGCCATGTCCTTCTCAAAACCTCTGATACCTTGGTTCTGGACTAGGGACTCTAAACCACCCCTTCATGGTGCTCCCACCCTTTCACTTTCAGGGCCGTGTCTTTCTTTTGATGGCCTGCTCCATCATGAAATCAACTCTCTGTAGTCCTCTCTCTGCCTACCAGAGCATCTGCTCCAGCAGGAAGGGGCTGGGGTCTAGCTTCTCTCTGTTATACCAAGCACTAAGCATGGCGTCTGGAACACAGTAGGAGTCCACTAATGCTTGATGAAGGGACGCATACAAAAAGAAGTGCCTTAATCTTTCAGCAGCTGGCTGCAGTGCTATCACAGTTACCCTAGGAATGTCCTTGCTCTCACTCTGTGGTCAGGGTTGAGGTCACAGAGACATCCAGATAACCCATATTTGTCTTTTTCTTAATAGAAAGTGAAGAGAAAGCATGTCGGCGGTGTCAGCATACACCTACCTGCATTTCTCAGAAAGCGGTTTCGGTAATCCTTAATGACCCTGGTGGTAGGGTTATAGAAGCCATCTCCACAGTCATAACAGCCTGGGGGGATTTTTCTAGGTGGGTCCATGTTGGTGAGCTGAGAGATACCTTAAACAGACACAAAAGGACAATTAGTATATCACCAAGGCCACGTGCAACAAGGCCACTGTTTATGTGGCTGTGGGACCAAAGGCTCCTTTTGCAGGGCCAGGAACAAAATCAGCAGGAACAGGGCCCAGGGAGCTTTTGGGAAACGGGCTATAGTCAGGGCCTTGGGAGCTGGACCCTGCTTTGACCTTACCCTCATCCATTTCTTGGACCACTGTGATGAAGTTCTGAAGTCAGAGAAACCCTAAGGGTAAGTCAGAGATGTCCAGAAGGGTAAATCCAAGAGAGGGGTAGGCAACATGTGGGTAGAGGCCACAGGTGTGAGCCCTTGGCCACACTCAGGACAGAGGCCACAGGTGTGAATCCTTAACCACACCCCAGGAAACCTGAGAGCAGAACTTAGATGGGGGAGGGCACCAGAGAGGGTGGACAGAGCCCCGCACCTGGCTTTCCCACATGGCCACATTGTACCATGCATTGTTTCTTGTGTGCTAGACATTTGGTTCCTCCTGTCTCAGGTGACCCTCAGAGCAGCCCTATCTTACAGAGAAGAGAGCTCACATCTGAGGCTGAGGAACAGGCCCAATGCTAGCTAGATAGGAAGCAGCCATGCTCTGGACCCTGGGTGCTAAGTAACGCATGAGGGAAGGCGTGGGTCTGAGTCTGAGCTCTAAGTCAGCGGCACTGGAACCCCAGGAAGGAAGGAAAAGGATATAGACATTTTAGGTCTTGGCATGCCATGGCTGGAGTAAAGGGGGATGCCAGAATGTTTTTAATTGTAAATCTTGAATTTCCCTCTCTCTGAGCAGAAAGCTGAATGTCCCACCATGCCCTGTTTATAGATCTGCACCCCAGAAAAGCAAATGCTTGAATGTTATCTAATTATATACTTGACCTTGACCCTAACCAAAACACATGTATATTGGCAATGATTGTGGAATGCTTTTTCCATGCCAATGGCTTTGAAGCCATTCTATGGCTGAAACCTCAGGCCAGTTGCCACCCTAGAGATGCTTGGAGAAGTCAAGATCACCTTAACCATCTCTATTTTCTCCTCTGTGAGGCAGGGCAAGAGTGACCAGATGGGGCACCCTGAACAATCCAAGAGATAAGACAGGGACTGGAGGAATCCAGCCCACAGAGCACACGTCCCATCAGTCTCTGTCCCCCTTTCCCACCCTCTCGTGTTCTAATGCTTACATATTTTTAGTATGACAGCTGGCATGTGCCATGCACCTGACATGCATGCAAAGCACTATTCCAGGTGCGAATTCTCTTATTGGCAATGGACTTGTAAGGCAGAAAACACTGCTTCCCTGACTTAGATGGGGAAAGCTGAGGCAGAGAAAGGGAGTCCCTTGGTCTCCTCCCCTTGGCCAGCCCAGGGGTCTCAGATGTGAGGACTGGGTCCTGTGGCTCTCCTGGGTCTGTTGTATCCATCTTCCCCCTTGAGAAGGTTCAGTGGGGATCAGTCCCTTGTTTCAAGCACCTTTGGCCTCCCTCTAGGTGTGGGTGTGCTACCTGAGGGCTTCAGGCCGTAGCAGATCTCGGTGAAGAACCTGCGGTCATAGCTGTCACAGTAGTGCCAGTGTCTGTCCTCGTACTGCAGCCCGTCAGCGAAGGTGTACTTGCCCTGGAAGAAGAGAAGCACGTGGGCGCCAGAGGAGACCAGAGACTTTTTGGCCGAGCAGGTCGCTACCAAGGGAGCAGTTGGCTGTTTGCTGCCTTAGGAAAGAAGTGACAGCTGGCAGAGTGGCCCTGGTTGTGAGGATTAGGGAGATGGAGCTACAGGACTGAACCCGGGTGTGGCGGCTGCATGGAGCTGGGCAGGCCACCTACTCGCAGCTCTCAGGTTCCTCATTTCTAGGATTAGGATGATGACAGTGTCCCTCTAATAGGGGTGGCTGGGAATTCGGTGAGATAGGTACATGCCAAGCTTGGCCGGGAGAGGTGTGTGTGTGTGTGTGTGTGTGTGTGTGTGTGTGTGTGTGTGTGTGTGTGTGTGTTTCCCAAAGAGATTAACATTTGAGTAGATGGACTGAGTGTACAGAGATCACCCTTACCCATACAGATGGACATTGTTAATGGCCTGATCAGAACATAGGGCAGAGGAAGGATCACTGTGCTCTCAGCTGGTCTTGGGCATCGGCCTCTGCCTGGGACTCACCCCACTGCCTTCTCTAGGTTCTCAGCCTTTCAGTTTGAACAAGAACTACAGTTCTGGCTTCCCCTGGGCCCCCAGCTTGCAGAGGATACACTGTGGTCCAGCTTCCATTATTTCATGAGCCAAACTCTCATAATCCCTTTCTGTGTATCTATTGGTGCCTTCCTGACCACCCTTCTCTGAGTACTCTAATACCCATAGAAGAAATACTTGCACATGTTGTTTTCCTTTTATTATTATTGTAGCTAGAAAGGCCAGAGCCAGAAGCCACAGCCGCCTGTCCAGACATGCATTCTGTTCTTGCTGCTTCAGAGCTAAAGGGATCCTCAGGATGTAGGAGCACATCAGCCTAGGCCTCAGGAAACATGGGTGGAAAGTCCCACAATACTGTTTGTTCACTGTGTGGCCTTGGGTAAGTCACAGCCCCTTCCTGAGGCTTAGAGTCCCCAAGCTATAAAAGAAGCATTTCTTAGCCTTTTTTTAGGTCATGAGTCAGGCTCAGCAAACACTCGGGGAAGCTCAGGAGAGCACAGATCATTTCCCCACAGAAAAACAGTTCCATACTTGCAGAGACTTTTGTGTGTGTAAAATCAGGGTGTTCCACTGACCCCTGAGTTCTACTCATGGCCCATAAACCCCAAGATCAGAACCTTTGGATTAGATGACTTAGTAGAGGTGGGGATGGTAAAAGCTAACCCTTATGAGCGTCTACTGTGTGTTAGGAAAATACACCTTTCCCCTATTGACTGTCAGCACCATTGTGGTAGGCTGTTATACCATCCCACCCCACCCCACCACCAAAGCTGGCCACACCTGCTGGAATTTGAGAATGTGTTACCTTGCATAATTTTTTTTTTTTTTTTTTTTTGGTTTTTCGAGACAGGGTTTCTCTGTGTAGCTTTGCGCCTGTCCTGGAACTCACTTGGTAGTCCAGGCTGGCCTCGAACTCACAGAGATCCGCCTGGCTCTGCCTCCCGAGTGCTAGGATTAAAGGCGTGCGCCACCACCACCCGGCTGCATAATTTTTTAAAAGGAACTTTTCTAGAATCACCCAATGTGAGGGTCCTTACAAGAGAGAGGTAGACAGGTCCAGGTGGGAGAGCTGGACAGCAGGAGCCAACAGGGCTGGGGAGAGGCGGGGTGGGGAGGGGGTGGGAGAAGTGACTTGGAGCTGTAAGCAGTGATTGGAGTAATAGCTAGTCATGAGTCAAGGGGTGCAAGCAGTTTCTAGAAGGCAGACAAAATGTGAGGAAACAGATTTTCCCCTGGAGTCTGCCTGCTGGCCCTGTTGAGACTTCCAGCCCCTAGAACCATAAGGTGGTGATGGAGGCTGATTTAAAATGGTAAACTGAGGGGTAATCCACCACAGCAGCAGTAGATAGCCAAGCTGACTGAGGAGCATGCATTTCAGAGATGTAGATCAGACAGCAAAGGACACAACAGGACGGAGGAGATCCTAGAGTCCCTGGAGAATGAGAAGTGGGGAGAGGAGAGACTGGAAAGAGGAGGTAAGCAACAGACAAGGAGAGCACAGTGACACAGCAGGCGGTGGCTCTTCCTGCCTGAGCACCGCCCCAGTCCCCAGCTGATCACCTTCACCACCAATCCCTTCTCCCAGGTGGCGTCGAATCTGCTCCCGCTGGGGAAGAACAGGGTTCCTTCTCCATGGAACATGCCATCCTTCATGTCCCCAACATATCTCGTGTCAGTAGGGAGGACGTATTCTGCACTGCCCTCCATCCTGTAAGGACATGGGGAAGTCACTGAGCTCTGCATGGCAGCTGGGAAGACATTCACTCTCTACATCCTCAGATGTTGTCGTCCCTCAATATTCTGTCAGAGCTTTTTGTGGTGCTTTGTTTTCATCAAAACCACACACACACACACAAATGTTGTTTAAGATGGGGCACCTTGGGTCCCTGCAGACTGCCCTGGAGTTGATGCTGTTCCCCGAGATACCTCCTCAACAGGCCCAGAGAAGGCTGTGTGCTGTGTCAAAGCTACACAGCAGAAACGGCAGAGACCAGCGCTCAGGAAGCCGACTCTGCGCCCACTATGACCAGTCCAGCCTTGCCCATTAAGCAAATCCTTGGTCTGGTAAATGTTAGCTTGGGCCAGCTACATAAATCACTCTGCACCTTACCTTACTTTTCTCACTTGTCAAGTGGCAATCACTGTGAGGAGGAGATGATGCATGGCGGCTGCTATAAAATGTGGATGGTCTTCCTTCATGTTCTGTGTTCTGAAGTAGAATTATCTAGAATTCACTGCACAACACTTCCAGAGAAATCATGATCATGAGGTCAGAGAGACTATATATATATAATTTTTTTTAACAGGCACTCTAGCCCATGCTGACCTGGAATTCATGTAGCTCAGGCTGGCCTTGAACCCTGCCTCAGCCTCTCAAGTGCTGAGATTATAGGAATAAGCCACTAGACCAGGTTTTTCATTTTTAGATTTAGATATGGTACAAGCAAGTCATGAATTTTAATGTTTTGTTAAAACAGCTTTATTTATGAAGCATAATTGACATGCAAGACTACACACATACTTAAAGTGTACAATTTGTAAGTCTTGACACATATCCTGGAAACCATCATCATAGTCAACATAATTAATATATCCACCACCCTCAGCTGCTGCATACCCTTGTTAACCTTTCTTTTTTGTTCTTTCCATTCCTCATCCCTAAGCAAATACTGATCGATTTTCTGTGACCATGAATTAATTTACATTTCCTATAATTTTATATAAAATATCATATAATGCCGGGCGGTGGTGGCGCATGCCTTTAATCCCAGCACTCGGGAGGCAGAGGAAGGAGGATCTCTCTGAGTTCAAGGCCAGCCTGGGCTACAGAGTGAGTTCCAGGAAAGGAACAAAGCTACACAGAGAAACCCTGTCTCGAAAAAACTATATATATATATATATATATATATATATATATATATATATATATATATATATATATATATACTCCTTTTTGGGGGGATTCTAATTTCCTTCATTCAATACAATTCTTCTGAGACCTACAGGCTGTTTTCTTCACAGTGGTGTTTCATCACATGCTGGAACTTAAGAGGCCCCAAGGATGACTTGTTTGCCTATTGCTAAAAATCAAGATTCAGCAGAGTATTTGACAGAACTATGAAAAGAAGTATAGTCAGCAAATCAACAACTGCCTTCTTGTGGGTTGTGGGCAATTGAGAGGCATTCTTCAGGTCTGGGTTTCAGTACTGTGGCTACAGCAGTACTGAAAAAAAAAAAAATCCCAAGCAAACACATTGCTTGGGATGAAGCACAGGGATGGCTGGTGTGGTGGTGTGGACAGGTGAAAGTGCACAGGAGGCCTTCTGTCCATGTCTGTCTGGTTATCTCACTAACTTTACATGCATAGCACATGATGTGTGTGGGCTTTCCAGTTTCTGTGCCTAAAATACTCAATCCTTCATCTCCACCTGACAAAACTTTTGCTGTAGCAAGGCCTTGTGGGAAGAAATGATGTGGTTTAGACACAGAACTGGGTAGAAATTCTTGACTCCATCACTTCTTCTCTGTGTATTCATAACAGTGAGCATGCTGTTTTGCTTAAGTTCAACCAGTTATTTGCAAGATCAGCCTGAACCACCTCACTGCCATGGAAGTGTTGCACCCAGCATCTTTGGAGTGTTGCACCCAGCATCTTTGCCACTTCCTGAAGAGTTAGACAGGGGTCCTGAGTCCTCTAAGCCCCCTTTCCTCCTTTACCATCTCCCTTGCAAAGCTGCTTGAAGATTTGCGACAGCATCCCATATGTATTGTTTCCACTTTCTCTAACACTCTATCCCATGCTTGGCTAGACCATTGCTCTCGTTGCCTCAAACTCAACACCCTGCAGTTCCTCTAGCCTGTACACACAGACCCTCCCAAATCAGGCCCTTCATCTCCATCTCCACAGTCCATGAACTGATCTACACCCCCAACAACTAGTACTAATCTGTCAATATACTTCCCCCAGCCTCGGGCTCTCCAGCTCTAAAAAATACTCCACTCTCTTCATCCAGAGCTGCTAGCAAGGCAAAGCGGCCGCCTCCACACATCCTTTGCCTCCCTTGGCCACAGTGCTGACCTTGATTGCTTGTCATAACTGTTAAGCTTACTTGCTCCACTATGTTTGCGTGAGCTTATTGAAGGCAGAGATTACAATCAGCATTTGCTGATTAGCATTTCCTGTTTTCCTTGGTGTGCATCATTTTAAAAAATATTTGTTTTTATTTTTTAATGTGTATTAATGTTTTGCTTACATGCATGTTTGTGCACCACGTGCGTGCCTGGTGCCCGCAGAGGCCAGAAGTGGAACTTTGGTTACAGATGGTCGTGAGCCAGCATGTGGGTTCTGGGACACACACACCACACACAATAAATAGAATGAATGAATCCCACCTATGCGGCTTATTAGATATGTGTACTTGAGCATGTTAGTAGAACAAGTGTTTGAAAGCGCTTGGCACAATGTCCTTGGCAGAGGCCAAAAGGCAGCTGTCTCTCTCTCCCCTGCCCGGGAGTGGACACACGGACGAATGGGACCTTACCTCCCGTTTACGTATGCCCCGACATAATGGCTCCCGGTGTACTGCATGTCAGCGGCTAGTGTCTAGCAGTTAGACGCCAACTTCAGCGGCCTCAGTGTCACTATGACAACCAGGAGGTGTGGGCGGAGCTCAAACGAAGCTCCGCCCCGCGAACCCGCTTGACTTCCTGAAATGGCGTACACTCATTCCTCCAGCGGTCACAGAGCATTGCGTCTGCGCGCCGCTGGAGACGCATGCGCAAATGGTACAGGGCAGCCTCGGAGACCCAAAGGGGAATTGAAGGAGACGGGCGACGCGGCCGAGGGCACCTGGTCAGGGTCGCGGCTGCCGCCGTCATGCCGGGGATAGTGGAGCTGCCCACTCTGGAAGAGCTGAAAGTGGAGGAGGTGAGGCTCGCCCCCAGGGCAGGCGGGAGGCCCGGGGCTGCAGCTGCCAGGCGGGCCCGTGCTCGGTCCCGGCCTCTGCGACCTGCATGATCACATCCCGCCGTGCTCCAAACACCTAGGCCCCAACCGCGACCCGTCTCCCCTCCCTCTTGTGAATGGAGGTGACACTTTCTAACATCACCTAGCCCCCTGCTGTACCTCCCCGTGAGACGAGTATGCCTATCCAGGTGCTCACCTTCCTACGAGTCTGTCAAAATCGGTGCGGAGCAGGCCTGGGGGCCGCCGCAGCATACAGTGCGTGTTGCACAGTGAGGCTGGCATGGGCTAGGGTGTTTGGTAACAGGACACATTTAAATATTCATTATACAGTGGAAAGTAAGGGACAATGCTCTGCTTTCGTAGCTTATAGTTTAATAAGGAGATAGGTAAAGAGGCAGTACAGCACAGTGCAGCTAGTGGTGTGAGAAGTGAAGTGAAGGCGATGTGTTACTGTAATTATTGCAAACACGATCAAGCCACTTCTGCAGGCCACGTTGCTAATTACTTGGGACACACAGTAAGGTAAGATATAACTGATCTTCCCTGTAGACCAGAAGTAGGCCCGGAGAGTAGAAATGATTTGCCCAAGGTCACATAGACAGTGTGTGGAAGAGTTGGAACGGGAACCCACACCTGTTCTGAAGCCTGGGCTGTTAAAGCTTTGAGCTAACGTGCGATAGAGTGAAGAGGAGGTGTAGATCATGTTCGTTGAGAAAGCCAGAGCTATTTGATGTCAGCTCTAGTGTTAGTGGTGGTTCTGAGAAGTCACTGATGGGGCCAGAGCAGTTTGAACTTGACCCCGTGAGATGGTGCCAAAGGTGAATGTGTTAAGGCAGAAGACCGTCCTGGCAGGACTTGTTGTTAGAAAAAACAGACCTGGCAGGCTGGAAAGTCTGTGTTGGGAATTCCACACCAGACACTGAAAAGTGTTTTCCCCACACTACTTCTGGAGTCCCTTACAAACCTGTGAGGGTGGCAACTGTTATTTCTTCAGATGAAAGTATTAGCTGTACTCATGTGTGAGTAACACTTACTAAGAAGTGACAAGTTATGTCCCCATGAGCCCGCTTTTTATTCTTATCCCATCATTAAATTGGTTAAACATGAGTTGACATGTTTTTGATTTTTTTTTTCTTTTGGTTTCTTGAGACAGACAGGGTTTCTCTGTAGTTTGAGTTCCTGTCCTGGAACTCACTCTGTAGACCAGGCTGGCCTTGAACTCACAGAGATTCGCCTGCCTCTGTCTCTCGAGTACTGGGATTAAAGATGTGCACCACCACGCCCGACTTTTTTGTTAAATTTTTAATTGGCACAGCAAACATTTCATGCAAGAGCTTTCCAGTATATTTTTCTTTAAAGTTTGCACAATATATATAATTATGCAAATAACTAAGGTGTAATAAAAGATAAGACACATATGATTAAATCTATGAGATAGGCAGGCACAGGTTAAGGAGAAAGTAGGATTTGATGTTGGATCTGAATTCTAGGCCAAACTGCTTGATTACTTTCAGTAGCCTTTAGCACTTATAAACAAGGGTGTTTTGCTTGCAAGATGAGGTGACTAGCTGAACAGTTTGTGAGGACGTAAGCTGTGCTTAACAGAGTTAAAGATAAGATCCTCTGTGCGAGTGCGTCCTCCTTAGCAGTGGACTAGTGACAGAGGCGATGATGTGGGAGAGCCTGGGTCAGGTCTGCAATATGACAACAGGCCCAGGGGGGCCAAGAGCAGCAGCCACAGCTTTGGGGAGCAGATAAAATCCATTTTGGACTCTATGACTTAGGGGTCATGTCACATCACTATGGAAAAAAACATCCAGGAGCTTTGGGTTAAAAATGCCAGCCAGGGGGTGGTGGCGCACACCTTTAATTTCAGAACTCAGAAGGCAGAGGCAAGCAGATCTCCAGGTTCAAGGCCAGCCTGGTCTACAGAGTGAGTTCCAGGACAGCCAGGGCTACATAGAGAAACCCTGTCTTGAAAAACCAAAAACCAAACAAACAAACAAACAAACAAAAACAACATCAAAAATATTCCTTGGTGTGTTGATAATTTTGAGTAAAAATTAAGCAACAGCCAGTACTGATGTACATTTTATGTGTCAGGTACATTCTTAGCATTTTTACAGGTATGAGTTCATTGGATCCTCACAAGATCCTGTGAAGTAGTAAGTGCATCACTCTGTGTTTTACATAAATATGAAATAGGCCTGCCATAATTTAAGTACTAAGAAGGTGTGGATGTGGTTTGTGGAAGCAGTGCCAGTACTGGAAGGCATGGGGGCTTTGCTGTGACTCTGTGGAAGCTTGCAACGCAGAGTGTCTGTGAAGGATGATGAGGAAGGATGCTGAAATTCTGGGTTCTGGAGACAAAGGATGCTGGATGAACTTGAGAGGGGACTGTTGGACTTCATCAACTCTGAAGAAGCAGGTGAAGGGGGCATGGTTGCATCTCAAGCGCTCCACCTTCTCTCTGATGGTAATGTCATGCCAAAGGCCTGTTGAGAGGCTACAGCGTCTGGGCTCCAGTTCTGAAGATGGCTGGCATGTCATCTCAAATGTGTGTTTATTCGATGGTTAGGAATTGGCTCAGTGAATGTGTCTCATCTTTGTTTCTTTATGACAGCATGAATATACCTTCATTTTGATAAGACTGCCACCTGTGTAAGGAAATAAAGCAACTAATACTTCAGGCTTTTGGAGGGCTGCTGTCTTGAGGATTTAAGTAATCAAATCAGTCATTTAAGGATATTTTGAGGCATTTGGCAAGCAAGTAAAATGGTGCTCAATTTTTTATTTAAATTTTTTATATTATTTATATGTATGAGTGTTTTGCCTGAATGTATGTGTACCACGTTTATGCCTGGTTACCATGAGTGCCAAAAGAGGGCATCAGATCCCCTGGGACTGTTGGTGAGCCACATATGGGTGCTAAGAATTGAGCCTCAGTCTGCTGGAAGAGCAGCAAGTATTCTAAACCACTGAAACTCAATTTTTAAAATGTAGTGACTTTTAGAAAAAACAAGAGTGGTAGTGCATGCTTGTGGTCCCAGCTGAGCAGGATTGAGAGTAGGAGGCCAGCCTGGCCTACATAGTTCAAAGCTAGCCTGGGCTACGTGAGTGTCTCCCAAAATCAGAAATAAAATAAAAAGGTTGAGTACCTTTATTCTCCCAGCTGGCTATAGGTAATAAAATAAGCAAATGTGTACCAAACTTAAATACAAAAATTTACCGATTTGGAGTATAAATCTGTTAGAGTTGGCATGGCAAATTTCACTTACGTGTGAGTTTACCTTTGTGTGTTGATTGTTGGGATGGACAGTGCTGGTGGGCAGTCCTGGTTCTTCATCTCCTTCCTGTAGGATGTTGGTGAGCCTTCTCACTCTTCTTTCCCAGATGTTTGTCCTATTAGTAAATTAATATGTATAAAGTGCATAAAAATAAGAGTGCAGACTTTTCTCACACTAAAGTCCTTAATTTTTTAAAAAATCCAATTCAGTGGTGTGTTAAAGTATGGTTTCCTGACACCGACTTTTAGGAAGCCTGCTAATGCTCTCTGTTCCATATCTCAGTTGACCAGGAATCTGAAAACTCCCTGCTCGGGAAAACAGCAACAGTAAAGCAAAAGCAGGTTAGATCAGAAAGGCCAGCCCTGAACAGGACTATCAAACTGCCCACGCCCAGATGCCAGCAGCAAATAAATACCCCACCCCGCTCTTGAAAATTTAGGCTTAAGAAGTTGCCCATGGCAGAGCTGGTGCTCAGTGTCTGCCTGCAGACTTTAGTCGGGCAGTAAGATAGAAATATCAGAAGAGAAACAGTAGCCAAAGTGGCTAAAAAGCGAGGATGAAGATGAGTCCTTCCAGACAGCAGAATGCTCTGTCGGGTTCCAGTGACGGAAGTGGCTTCGGCCTGGGCTAACACTCTAGAGCTGGAAGCTGGGCCCTGGACTCTGCCGATCCTAGTGAGCTACCTGCAGCTGCTCTTCAGTGCTTCTCTAGAGTGTTGGAAGGCAAGCAGGGGAGTCTGCATGGTCACAGTGCTCGACTTCGCATCAGTGTGGGCAGGTTCCAGGGCTTTATTCTTAGGAATAATTTGCCAGACTGTGAGCTCCTTTTCCTTTTCCCTGCTTCCTCTGATTTCCCAGCCCTCTGGGAGTTTCAGATGTCCTTATAGGATTCATTTCATCCTTGGAGAGGAACCTTAGCAATGTTGACAGGGTTATTTTAAGCAAGATTCTGTTAGGGTCACCATCTTTGTCTTTAAGAGAAAGCTGGGCTGGTTCTGTCAGCCTAGCGAGACGTGCGGGAGTGCATAGTGTGTGACCCTCTACATCACTTTTCCAGGTGAAGGTCAGCTCAGCCGTGCTTAAAGCTGCCGCCCACCACTATGGGGCTCAGTGTGATAAGGCCAATAAGGAATTCATGCTGTGCCGCTGGGAGGAGAAGGACCCCAGGCGCTGTCTGCAGGAGGGCAAGCTGGTCAACAGCTGTGCACTGGACTTCTTCAGGTAAGACTCACCTGAAGGCAGTGTCTGTGTGAGTTGTAACGTCAGGGTGTTCTGAAATATTCTTACCTGAGGAAGTGACTTCCGGCTAAGAAAGAAGAGCTGCAAGTGTGCAGGTTTGAAGTCAGATAGACCAAACTTAGTTATTTTGTTTGTTTTGGATTTGTTTT